TCAGCTGATCCTAATGTAAAGTCAAGTTTGAGGGCTACTATGCTAAATTAATCTTTCTGAAACTACTTGCAGGGTAAAGTCTAAACTGTGTAACTGGCATTACCTAACCATACCTAACTAGGACACAGCGTCCGAATACCTTAACTTCAGATGATTACAGTCTATGGGCATGGATGAGACCTCCTCTCTCATAGAAGATGGAGAGAGGCAGAGAGGCTGATGCAGTGGTCTAGGTGTGAGATGATGGGCAAAAAACAAGGGCAGATAGAATAGAAGGGCGAGTTCCACTGACCCTTTTGTTCTCTCTCAAGCCCAGAGGCATCCTTAGTAAAATTGTTCCTGGATATAAAATCGGATATCCTTTCTCCTAACTCCACTTCATCGTATATCCTTCCAGCAAGAGTGAGCTTGATTAAGCAAGCATAACACCTTAACTGTTCTCTTAGTGAAAGAGAGGCCAGGAAGGACAGCCTAATATCAGAAGGGCCCCTGGAAAATCATTCTGCATGCACACTAAGTCCCAAAGATGGTACAAAACAGTTCTCTGTTTCCCTTTCAAGTAGCCTCCTGGCCTTCTAAACCTACCTAAGTTAGACATCAAGGTTGTCTTCTTCTCTCTGCTTGCTCCTCTTTCCATCAAACCGTCCTCTTGGGTTTTTATGTTTATTTAACAGCTTAGCTCTCCCACTTCCAGGGTTCTGCTCACTTTTCTCTTGGCTCTGATTCATGCTTAACCAGTTGCGTACATCTGGTTTCCCTTGACTGAGCTGATGGGAGGTGAGGTGTAGGGACTCTTGGAACCCAGGTCTGCATGACTCCACAGTCCATGTTCTTCCCGCTGTACCAAGCACCCTTTACTAACTTTAGTTTTCTGACAAATCAAGGCTTTTCCAAGAGCAGTCTAATCTGAACAGCATGAGGTCATAAAGCAGATGTGACCTCAGGAGTGAACATTTCCAAAGCCTTGTATTTTCCAGATCAACGTCTTGTGGTGAGGGGTCACAGTTCTCATGGGATTTCTTAGAGGAGCATTTTTTTAGAGTCAACATGAGGTAGCAGAAAGTTAAGGGTTAGGAGTCAGTGAAACAGCAAGAGTCCTGAATAACAGGCCAGGTCAGCTTGAGAAAGTCACCCTCCTTGAGCCTCATTTTTCTTGTCAATAACCAAGGATAATATATTGGCTTTTGTTCAATTTACTGTGAAGATCCTATGAAAGAATGTCTGGGGAGGTGCTTTTTAAACTGTGCAGAACTCTGAATGCATGAGGCCTTGCTGTTCCACCTGCAGATGTGAACAATTGATATCTGAAGTGAATTGTGAGGTGGAGGCGTTAATTTCAAATGCCAAAACTGACCAGGCATGGGCTTCATCAAGTAATTTGTATGGTTTTCTAACAAGGGATCATAATTTGTCTTGGGACATCCAAGAACTCTTGTAAAACAGTGTTGTACAGGATGTAACATATTGAAGATTAAGATATATGGGCATGATACCCAGATTTACAACATACTGCCTGTTTTGCAATTTGAAAATCTAAAACCAGATTTTGGAAAACAGTGTTCCTCTTCCAGCCAAGCAGCACAGCCCAAGACAGAATTCAAGGGAGAAGGTCCAATGGGTGCTTCTAGAGTCCAGTCTGGGTTGGCAAACCCAAATGTCCACAGGGTGAGGCAGGAGGGGTGAGGCAGTGGTGGGGTGGACTGGGCTTCTGAAGGATCATTATGGGGGGTAACAGCTACTCAATACCCACCCATTGTGGCCATGTAGGAATTGGGCTCCAGGCACCAGACTTGTATTTTTCAGGAGAAGCTGGAAATATAGGTTTTTGTTTGTGCATGTATGTGAGATTTCCATTTTTAAATGCTGGCAGTGGAATAAATTTGAAACATGGGTGGGCCAAAGCAAACAGATGTACTGACTGGATTTGGCCCTTGGGCCACCCACCTCTAACTTCTAATCTGGGCCAACTGGCCACCCTTTAGAACTACCTGGGGGAAGGTTTCAGAAATCTCAATGCTCAGGCCTTATCCTGAACCAATTAAATCGGCATTTCTGAGAGTGAGACTCAGCATGTATATAAATGAAAACTGGCCAGGTGATTCCAGTGTTCAGCCAAGTTTAAGAATCAGTGCTTACAAGCCTTGCTACTTAAAATCTAATCCTCGCCTTAAAAGCTATAGGACTGATAAAAGAAACTGAAGAAGATATAAATAAATGGAAAGATATTTCCTGTTCATGGATGAAAATAATTAATGTTGTTAAAATGTACTACCCAAATCTATAGATTAGACTCAGTCCCTATCAAATTTCCAATGACATTTGTTTTCATGGAAGTAGAATAAACAACCCCAAAATTAATGTGGAAGTACAAAAGGCCCTGAATAGCCAAAGCGTTCTGGAGAAAGAAGAATAAAGCTGGAAGCATCATACTTTCTGATTTCAAACTATACCATAAAGCTATAGGAATTGAAATACTGGGACTTCTCTGGTCCCAGTGGTTAAGAGTCCATCTGCCAAAGTGGGGGACACAGGTTTGATCCCTGATCCGAGAACCCAGATCCCACAAGCCACAGGGTAACTAAGCGCATGCACCACAGCTACTGGGCCTGAACTCAAGAGTCCATCAGCCACAGTCACTGAAGCCTGTCTGCATGCCCCAGAGCCTGTGCTCCACAACAGGAGGAGCCGTGGCGATGAGAAGATCCTGTCCCGCAACTACAGGGTATCCGTTGCTCGCGGCAACTAGAGAAAGCCGGCACACAGCAAGGAAGAGCCCGTGCACTGCATCAGAGACCCAGCACAGCCATAAAGAAAGAAATAAATACTATGGTTTATAAAATACTACGCAACTGGCTTAAAAACACACACATAGACCAGTGGAACAGAATCAAGAGCCCAGAAATAAACCCACACATATACAGTCAACTAATGCCCAACCAGTCCATCCTAAAGGAGATCGGTCCTGGGTGTTCATTGGAAGGACTGATGCTGAAGCTGAAACTCTAATACTTTGGCCACCTCATGCGAAGAGTTGACTCATTGGAAAAGACCCCAATGCTGGGAGGGATTGGGGGCAGGAGGAGAAGGGGACGACAGAGGATAAGATGGCTGGATGGCATCACCAACTCGATGGGCATGAGTTTGAGTGAACTCTGGGAGTTGGTGATGGACAGGGAGGCCTGGCGTGCTGTGATTCATGGGGTTGCAGAGTCGGATACGACTGAGCGACTGAACTGAACTGAATGCCCGACAAGGGAGCCAAGAATACTCTATGAGGATAGTCTCTTCAGTAGATAATATTGGAAATGCTGTATATCCATATGGAGAATGAAACTAGACCCTTATCTCACATCATTTACAAGTCTTAACTCAAAATGGGTTAAAGACTTAAATATAAGACCCGAAACCATAAAACTCCCAAAAGAAAACACAGCAAAAGTTCCTTGATGTGGGTCTTGGCAATAATTTTCTGGGTGTGACAACAAAAGCAAAAGCAACAAAGGCACAAATAAACAACTGGGACTACATCAAACAGCAAAAAAGTGTCAACAAAATGAAAAGGCGATCAAAGGAATGAGAAAGTGTATTTACAAATAGATTATCTTATAAAGGGTTAATATCCAAAATTTATACAGAACTCATTTAATTAAAATAACAGAAAAATCAAATAGTCTGATTTTAAAATGGGAAAAGGACCTGAATAGATAATTTTTTTCTGAGGAAGATATACAAATGGCTACCAGGTACATTCTCAACATTACTAATCATCAGGGAAATGCAAATCAAAACCACAGGGAGATATCACCTCACACCTGTTACAGTGGCTCTGATCAAAAGGACAAGAGATAACAGAGGTGGGGGAAAGAAAACCTTTGTGCACTGTTGGTGGGAATGTAAATTGATATAGCCACAATGGAACAGTATGGAGGTTCTTAAAAAAATTAAAATAGAACTACCATATGATTCAGAGATCCCACTTCTGGGTATTGATCCAAAATAAATGAAATCACAATCTCAAAGAGAGATATCTGCACTTCCATGTTTGCGACATCATTATTTATAAAAGCCAAGAATTGGAAATAACCTAAATGTTCATTAATGGATGGATGGATGGATATAGAAACTATGAAAATGCACACATACACACACACACACACACACACACACACATAAACAAAATAGAACATTACTCAGCTATAAAAAGGAAAATCTTACATTTTGCAACAATGTGGACTTCAAGGGCATTATGCTAAGTGAAATAAGTCTGACAGGGAAAGAAAAATATTGTATGATCCCATTTATATATGGAATCTTAATAAACAACCCAAACTCATAGAGACAAATAACAGATTGTGGTTTCCAGAGACAGTGGGTGGTGGGGTAAATTGGTAAAGGTGATCAAAATGTACAAAATTCCAGTTATAAGATGAATAAATTATGAGGGTCTAATGTACAGCAGTGGCTATAGTTAATAATACTGTATTGAATACTTGAACATTTCTCTTTTTTTAACATTTTAATTTGTTTATTTTTAATTGAAGGATAATTGGTTTACAGTATTGTGTTGGTTTCTGCTCATCAACATGAATCAAGCATATGTATACATATGTCCACTCATCAACATGAATCGGCCATAGGTATACATATGTCCCCTCCCGCCTCCCACCCCATCCCAGAAAATTTCTAATAGAGAGTAGACCTTAAAAGTTCACACTTAAAAGTCAAAAGGTAACTATGTGAGGTGATGGATGTGTTAACTGGTCTTATTATGGTAATCATTTCACAATATATACATATATCAAATCATCACCTCAAGAGAGAGAAGGCTAAGATGGCATAATGTTAAGTGAAATAAGTCAGGCAGAGAAAGACAAATATCTTATGATTTTACTTCTATGTGGATCTAAAGAACAAAATAAATGAACAAACACAACAAAACAGAAACAGACTCACAGATACAGAGGAAAAATAGGTGGTCACCAAAGGGGAGGGGAGTGGGTATGAGTGAAATAGGCGAGGGAGATGAAGAGGTACAAACTTCTAGCCATGGAATAAGTGAGTCACGGGAATGAAATGTACAGCATGGGGAATATAGTCAATAATACTGTAATAACTTTGTGTGATGACAGATGGTAACTAGATGTATCATGGTGATCATTTTGTAATGTATAGAAATATCAAATCATTAGGTTGTGCACCTGGAACTAACACTTAATTATACATCAATAAAAAATTTTGAATAAATAAAAATTGAAAATAATCACATCAAAATTTTAAATGAGCTTGACTAAACTCATTCTTGTGGTGCACATGTGGCTGGTAACACTACAAGAAAATACATCATGTCTTCCGCTGGGAAGCTACTGACTGACTCCAACCTGCCTGCACCACACAGTGGCTCCTGGTGACTTTCTCTGCCGCCTGGAAGGCTGTCCTTTACGCTAGCTTATGACAAGTTTCTTTGCTACCAGTAGGCTGCATACTCCTGTGGCACCCATGTGCTCTCCAAAAATATTTGACTCTCTGCCTTGAAGGGGTCTAAGGAGGGTCAGAGAGGAGGGGCCTTCTCAGGTGGCACTAGTGATAAAGAACCTGCCTGCCAAAGACAGAGATGTAAGAGACTCGGGTTTGATCCCTGGGTTGGGAAGATCCCCAGGAGAAGGAAATGGCAACCCACTCCAGTATTGCCTGGGAAATCCCGTGGACAGAGGAGCCTGGCAGGTTATCGTCCATAGAGTTGAAAAGAGTCAGACATGACTGAGGTGACTTAGCACGCACGCGTGCGCTTAAAGAAGAGAGGGCTGGCAGGAAGAAGTGTCCTTCTGAGTTCTGGATTCTTTGCTTGTCCACTCTCTCTTGCAGCTTTAAAGGTAGCAACTTCTTCTGTGTTTGCTGCTTCTGTAGTCTTTAGAGTTGCATTTTATCCTTCTTAATAATTATATTTTGCTAGCTAAGATCCTTTATAATTATATAGATATCTAGAGCAGTCAAATCCATAGAGACAGAAAGTAGAATAGTGATTCAGGCCAGGGGCTGGAAGGGGAGAAGAAAGGGGAGTGATTGATTAATGGGTAGGTTTCTATTTGGGAAGGTGAAAACGTTCTGGAGCCGGATGCTGGTGATGGTGACACAGCGGTGTGAATGTACCTGGTGCCACTGGACTGGACACTTAAAGTCCACATCAAATCACATAAGTTACCACAATTTTGAAAAAAGTTCTTTATGTCAAATTTGCAAACTATAGATGTAGTTTGTCTCCTGGTTGGAACTTGGCTGATACACCAGGCCACCACAGAAGCCTCTTCAATGGGCTCTCCTCCTTCTGGCCACACACATGAATACATCTTTCACTCTGCAACACAGTCCCGGGCTTCCGTGGGGGTCCAGGGGTTAAGAATCTGCCTTGCAATGCAGGGGACACCAGTTCAATCCTTGGTCTGAGAAATTCCCGCATGCTGCAGAGGAACAAAGGCCGTGTGCCACAACTACTGAGCCTGTGCGCTAGAGCCTGTGGTCCGCAACAAGAGAAGCTACTGCAATGAGAAGCCCATGCACCAAAACTAGAGAACAGCCCACGTGCAGCAACAAAGACGCGGTGAAGCTATAAATAAATAAATAAGAGTCCGTGTCCTTTTGTGGATCTCTGGCCTACCGGTCTCCCACTCCAAACCCTCCGCTTTCTTTCCCTCTGCTGAGTGAGTGAGGCTCTAATCGCTGAGCCAGGAATTCAAGGCCTCAGCAATCTCATGCCATCTTGCCTTGCAAACCTCAGTTCTTGTTACTCCCTATCACATCCTCTTATTTACGCAGCCAGATACAACCACCTGCTCTCCTCTCTGCTCAGCCCGGCCTTTGCTTTGAATTCTCTGCACTTGCTGAGAGGAAACAGCTTTATCATCTATGGCCAAGGTCACAAAAAGAGACCCTGGATAGGACGTGCCTCCTATAATCTTGACCTACACTGCTGATAGTCTTGCTAAAAGAATTAAACCCAACCCCTTGTCTCGATCAGGCAATACAAAGGATTTCATGAAAAACATGAAGTACTACACCAAGAGTATGCAATCAGCAAAACTCTGTGGAAATTCTATGGATCAGAAAGCTTGGGTTCATCAACTGATGTGTAGTGTGTTAATCACTCAGTCATGGCTGACTATTTTAGACCCCATGGACTGTAGACTGCCAGGCTTCTCTGTCCATGAGTCTTCCAGGCAAGAATACTGGAGTGGGTTGCCATTTCCTTTTTAAGTTGTAATAAAATGAAGGATATGGTGGAGAAACATAAAGATGGAAAAACATTTAAGAGACACATCTCATTTATTAAATGGTTCAGCTAAACTGAATTTTGGGATGCACATGTGGGTGGTAAAACACTATTCTAAAAAATACCTGGGAGTGATATAAACAATACACAAATCTTTTATGGGGAGAGGAAGGGGATTGCAACCAAGTTCTTTTTTCTTGACCCAGACAGGGCTTCTTTTTTTTTTATATAATTAATTAGACAGTAATTTGATTTGTGTGATTCCCTGAGTCTGTGTTTTATTGTTGTTATGTGTGCTCAGTCGTTTGGTCATGGCTGACTCTTTGCAACCCCATGAACTGTAGCCCACCGGTTCCTCTGTCCATGGGATTCTCCAGGCAAGTATACTGGAGTGGGTTGCCATTTCCTCCTCCAGGGAATCTTTCCGACCTAGAGATCAAACCCATGTCTTCTGAGTCTCCTGCATTGGCAGGCAGATTCTTTACCACTGAACCACCTGGGAAGCCCATGCATTGTAACAAAAATATGTATATATTTTAAAAATCCAGAAAGCAGAGAGGGAACTTGTTTTAGAGAGAGGACCTGCTGTGGGGGAGAGAACACTGGACTGGACTGGGAGTCATGATTTGGAATGCTGTTCACCACTGCCACCAGAAAAAGCTCTCAGCTGCTCAGAGCCTCTGCCCCGCAACCCATGATGATGGACCAGAAGTCCTAACCCCTCCATATACTGTGGATTCTGTAGCTTTTGGCAGATTGAGCCCACGAATTGCCTCAGTTTTTCAAACTGATATTTCCCTGGATTATTGCTGAATTTCAAAAAATATTTTATAAACATATGCGTATAATCTGGGGAAAGAAAAACACATTCAACATGGCAGGTGCTGCTAGGCGCCTCCTAATATCCATCTAGTCTCCCGGTCTCCTGACTAATGAAACCCTAACTATTAGGGGCAGCAACATGCCCAGCAAAAACATACTGGATTTCTCAAATACTTATGCACAAAGCATGGCCAGTGAGGCCAATGAGTGGGACTTCCAGGGAATTGCTTGTTTATTTTCCTGATAAAAATAACAGGCTCAACTGGCTTATGCTTTTTGCCTTTTGATCCTCCTCCACTGCTGGCCTGAAACTAGGACGAAGCCCTGGAAGTGCTACAGTGTCTTTGAGCCTGAGAAGGAGGGCTGGGTGCTAGGTATGGCACAGCAGGCTGAGTTCCTGATGGCATCACAGGCTCACTGCTCCATCTCAGGCTGCTGTTTCTAGATTTCCTAATATGAGAAGAACATGAGACCTCCTGGTTGTTAAACCTCTGTGATTATATTTCTGTTTTGCTAAGTTGCTTCAATCTGGTCCGACTCTTTGCGACCCTAAGGTCTATAGCCCTCCAGGCTCCTCTGTCCATGGGATTCTCCAGGCAAGAACACTAGAGTGGGTTGCCATGCCCTCCTCCAGGGGATCTTCCCAATCCAGTGATTGGACCCGAGTCTCCTGCATTGACAGGTGGATTCTTTACCACTAGTGTCATCTGGGAAGCCCATATCTGTTACCTGTAGCTAAATACCCTTTCAGGGAATTGAATACTTTTGCAGGCAGAAATAAAATGCTTTTGAAATGAAGGCAGAGGTTTCCCTGAAAGCTAGAAATTAACATCGTGACAGTCACCTTTATACTTCAAGGGCAAATAATAAGTAAAACTGTATCCATCTATGATGATTGATTTATCTAGACTGGTTGTGTTGATCATGTCCATGTCACAATGTAAGCAAATATCAAATCAGTATGTTGTACACCTGAAATTTATACTATACTATATTATATTGAAATTTTATGGAGATTCATTAAAAACCTAAAAATAGAATTACCAAACGACCCAACAATCCCAATACCCGGCATTGAAAAAAAACCATAATTCAAAAAGATACAATGTCATTGTAGCACTATTTACAATGGCCAGGACATGGAAGTAACCTAAATGTCCCCTAACAAATGAACGGATAAAGAAGATGTGGTCCATATATATATATAATGGAATATTGTTGTTGTTTAGTCACTAAGTTGTGTCCGACTCTTTTGCAGTCCCATGGACTGTAGCCCGCCAGGCTCCTCTGTCCGTGGGATTTCCCAGGCAAGAACACTGGAGTATTACTTAACCATAAAAAGGAATGAAATTGAATCGTTTGTAGTGATGTGGTTGATTCTAGAGTCTGTCATGCAGAGTGAAGTAAGTGAGAAAGAGAAAACAAATATAGCATGTTGATATGGAATATTAAAAAACATGGTACTGATAAATATATTTGCAGGGTGGAAATAGAGATGCAGACATAAAGAACAGATCTGTGGACACCAGAGGAAGGAGAGGGTGGGACAAATTGATGGAGTAACACTGACATATATACAATACCATGTGTAAAATAGGCAGCTAGTGGGAAGCTGCTATATAACACCAGGAGTTCAGCTTGGTGCTGTGTGATGACCTGGGCAGGGGTGGGGTGGGGGGATATATGTATACATATATCTGATTCACCTTGTTGTATAGCAGAAATTAATACAACATTGTAAAATAATTATATTCAAATTAAAATTTTTTAAAAAAGAAAAAAAAATTCTTTAGAAAGGAAAACGAAAAAAAATTGGGATTGGAAAAAAAATGCTGCAAGGACATTTGAGAATCAATTTTGAAAGCATCTTTGCTCTGGCCCAGAAGTATAAATGGCACCAGGGTAGGGTTAGGGTTAGACTCTCTTGGTTTTTCTGACTTAAAGTATGGAGCAAAAGTTTCAGGAGAACAGAGATGCAGGCGAGTGAGTCTGAGAGTTTCAACAGCGTTCCTCGGGAACACACAACAGTGAACGTAGAAGGGCTTTGTAAGCAACAGAGCACTGTGCCCTTGGATGGCTGGTTAGCGTGGTTTTAAATTCTTTTCTACACGGTAAAAGTCAAATAGAGAGCCTTGTGGTAAGAGCACTTAGTTCTGAGCCAGAAGGATGGCTGTGGGAGCCCGGGCCCCAGTTAGCTGGCCAGGTGACCTTGGACAAGTCACTTAGCTTCCAAGTCTCATTTTCTTTGTCAGCAAAAAAAAGAGGTTAATGTCAGCCTGGGTTTCCCAGGTGGCTCAATGGGAAAGGAATCCACCTTCAATGTAGGAGGGTCAGGAGACACAGGTTCGATCCCTGGGTTGGGAAGATCCCCTGGAGGACGGTATGGCCACCCACTGTAGTATTCTTGCCCGGAGAATCCCATGCATGGAAGAGCCCGGAAGGCTACAGTCCATGTGGTTGTAAAGAGTTGGACGCAGCTGAGCATGCACATACCAATGCTGGCCTCGAAGGATCGTTGGGAGGCCTGGACTCAGTGGTCTCTGTGAAGTCCCAGAACTGCTTTGTGGCACTGACTGGATGCTTGGCAAATGCAGACCCTTGTCTCTTCCTCCCGTGCCCAGTAAGGTCCCAGTAAGCAACTCTCTAACTTTAAATGATGACCTCAAGGCCAAAGAGAACTTTAATCGTCCTCTGGTCCAGCCCACATCTCAGCCAGAATCGCCTGCAACATCCCTTTGGATGGACCGCCAGCTTTTCTTTGCCCTCTCTCTGGAGAGGACATTCTCTATGCCCCGAATCACCTCTTGAGGCTCTAGACAGCTCTTTCTGTTGCTGCGGTATTTTTCTGGGCTGAGTAGAAATCTGCTCCTGATAACTTCCTCCCCAGTCTGCAGTGTTTTCTGAACTGCTTGAGCGCTGTTCCCCTGACCTCTGAGCCCTGTGCAGAGCTCTACTCCTCCATGGCTCCCTGAAGGGGAGTCACTCTCTGCCAAGGCTAAGGTGCTAAGGTGCTAAGGCAACCAGTGATCCATCCCCACTGGTTAAAACTGGGTCCAGAGACGCCATTCCCCACGGGACCCTAGGAGTTAGATGCAGGCACTGAACCCACAGACCACTGAATCTGGTCTGCAGACATGGGTTGTTGGTTTTATGTTTTATTTTTGCCTTCACAGTGCCTTTTTTCTTTTTCTTTTTTTTTTTTTTATGGAATTGGTGAGAACACTTTAAAACCTGAAGATTTTATATTTTAAAAATCCAGGTTCAGGAATTCCCTGGCAGTCCAGTGGTTAGAACTCCACACTCTCACTGCTGAGGACCTGGGTTCAATTCCTGGTTGAGGAACTGAAATCTCACAAGGCTCAGTAGTCGTGGCACATGGACTTAGTCACCCAGCGGCATGTGGGATCCTCCTGCACCGGGGATCGAACTCCCGTCCCCTGCATTGGTAGGCAGATTCTTAACCACTGGGCCACCAGGGATGTCCCCTCCTGACTGTCTTACACTCAGCTCGCTTACCTCATTTATATATAATGTCTGATTCCTATAGGTTTACTCCCAATTTCATTCAGCAGGGCCCCCATTGTAGGTAAATGGTTCATCTGGAGCCAAGATCAAGGTAACCGCAATCCCAAAAGGCAACTTGAAAATTGTCTAGAAAATTCCTTCATCATTTTTGGATAACGCCTTTAAAGATTCATCTTAAAGAAACACTTCCACATGTGTTCTACATGAAGAAGGAGAAAACATGGCTCTCCTGCATTGCAGGTGGATTCTTTATCATCTGAGCTACCAGGGAGGCCTGTGTTCTACATAGCTTAATTAAGTATTTCATCGCAGCTTTGCTTACAATAATGAACAGCTAGGAATAACTTAAATGCGTTGCCAGTGAAGAGTGGCTAAGTCCACCACAGTATCTCCAGGTCATAGAGTAATATGCAGCCATAAAATACAATACAAAGACTATTAAATTAAACAAGAAATAGTAAGTGAATAGTAAGAAATCAGTATATGTTCAAACTTGGGAAAATCTGTGGTATATATTAACTGAAAATAATAAGTTACTCTGTGTGTGTGTGCTCACTCGTGTGCGATTCTTTGGGACCCTTTGGACTGTGGCCTGCCAGGCTCCTCTATTCATGAGATTCTCCAGGCAAGAATACTGGAGTGTGTTGCCATTTCCTCCTCTAGGGGATCTTCCTGACCCAGGAATCGAAACTGTCTCTGCACTGCAGGCAGATTCTCTACTGCTGAGCCATCGCGGAGGGTAATAAAAATGTGATGCCATTGATGTTTTTAAAAACAGCGTATTTACAAATTATATATATATTTACATAATAGATAGAAAGGCTCTAGAAGGCGACACATCAAGCTCATGTTGAAATGGGACTAGAACTGGGGACAATAGTCAAGAAAGAGTTTGGCTTTATTAGTATTTTAATTTTTTGTGCATATGTGAGAGTTGATTTATATATTCTTTGGGTTGTTGAAATACAATTAAAAAGGCAATTCGTGCTCTGTACAGAAGCTCGTTCCTAAGCTCAGGTCTGTGACCATGGGGAAATCAATCACCGTGAATCACATTCTGCCTGTGAACTTAGTGTGTTATGCATTCCTAGGGAAGTTGTACCTCTGAGCAGTTTTGGTCAAGTTCCAATTTCAAATATGCTGTGTCCTCATAAATACACTCCTTCTTGCCAGGCTTCAGTTTGGAAAATACAGTCACTGTATACCTTCTACAAATTGCTGTTTCTAAGCAACTACATATCAAGGATACATCAAATTTACCAAAAATATACCCTGGAAGTCTCTGTGTCCCCAAACAGGACTCTGTATGTATGTATCACTTCTGACCAATATAAATTCTTGTGGGCTCAGAGCATGGAGGAAATTCATCCAAGTTTTCCGTCTCGGCTCCAAATGGCATAATGACAGCCCAGTTGGAAACAGCACTCAGAGGGCAGTGCCCTGTGGAGCTCCGCTGCCTGCTGGTCCTCACGTTCCTTCAGAAGCTGAGCCCTGAAAGCCTGGCTGCTGCCAGCCCTCCTCCACCTCTAGACCGATGCCTGGATCCATGTGAGACAGACAAGTCCAGGGAAAGGCTGGTTGGATATTCCCACATCTGGCAGGAGGCTCCGATCCAAGTTGTCCAAGAGAAGATTGGGATTTGGTGTCTGGCAGAGAACAGATTTGGTGTTGACCCGCAGAGGACAGATGTGCTGCTCGTAAAATCACGGATTCCTTGGGCTAGATGGGGCCTTCGGGGTAGCCTGACACCCGAAGAAGACCTGGGTACCTAGCAGGTCAAGACAAGCCCCGTGGGCAGGCTGCACCCAGAGAACAGGCTCAGGCAAAGGAGTGGGATCAGATTTTGATTGGGTGAAGAGGGGCGACACAAATGCCAATCAAAACCACAAGGTAGATACCATTTCACATCCACTAGAATGGCAATTGCAAACGATAGCAAGAACAAAAGCAAACAAACAAAACACCCAGAAAGTAGCAATCTTTGGTAAGGATGTGGAGAAACCAGAACGCTTTTGCATTGTTGGTGGGAATGTAGAACGGTGCAGCTGTGGTGAAAAACAGCATGAATGTTCCTCCAACTTTAAACATAAAATTACCATCAGTTCAGTTCAGTCACTCAGTTGTGTCTGGTTCTTTGAGACCCCATGGTCTGCAGCATGCCAGGCCTCCCTGTCCATCACCAACTCCCAGAGTCTACCCAAACTCATGTCCATTGAGTCGGTGATGCCATCTAACCATCTCATCCTCTGTTGTCCCCTTTTTCTCCTGCCTTCAATCTTTCCCAGCATCAGGGTCTTTTCAAATGAGTCAACTCTTTGCATCAGGTGGCCAAAGTATTGGAGTTTCAGCTTCAACATTAGTCCTTCCAATGAACATCCAGGACAGATACCCTTTATGATGAACTGCCTGGATCTCCTTGCAGTCCAAAGGACCTTCAAGAGTCTTCCAACACCAGAGTTCCAAAGCATCAATTCTTCTGCGCTTAGCTTTCTTTATAGTCCAACTCTCACATCCATACATGACCACTGGAAAAACCATAGTCTCGACTAGACGGAACTTTGTTGGCAAAGTAATGTCTCTGCTTTTTAATATGCTGTCTAGGTTGGTCATAACTTTCCTGCCAAGGAGTAAGCGTCTTTTAATTTCATGGTTGCAGTCACCATCTGCAGTGATTTTGGAACCCAAAAAAATCAAGTCAGCCACTATTTCCCCTGTTTCCCCATCTATTTGCCATGAAGTGATGGGACCTGATGCCATGATCTTAGTTTTTTGAATGTTGAGCTTTAAGCCAACTTTTTCACTCTCCTTTTTTACTTTCATCAACAGGCTCTTCAATTCTTCTTCACTTTCTGCCATAAGGGTGGTGTCATGTGCATATCTGAGGTTATTGATATTTCTCCCAGCAATCTCAATTCTAGCTTCTGCTTCATCCAGCCCAGAGTTTCTCATGATGTAGTCTGCATATAAGTTAAATAAGCAGGGTGACAATATACAGCCTTGATGTACTGCTTTTCCTATTTGGAACCAGTCTGTTGTTCCATATCCAGTTCTAACTGTTGCTTCCTGATCTGCATACAGATTTCTCAAGAGGCAGGTCAGGTGGTCTGGTATTCCCATCTCTTTCAGACCCAGGAATTCTACTTCTGGGAATATACCTAAAAGAATTGAAAGCATATATATTTTAAATGAATAACTAACAGAGTCCTACTATATATCACAGGGAACTTTGCTCAATGTTATGTGACAGCCTGGATGGGAGCAGAGTTTTGGGGAGAATGGATACATGTGTATGTATGACTGAGTCCCTTTGCTGTCCACCTGAAACTGTCACAACATTGTTACTTGACTATACTCCAATACAAAATAAAAAGTTTAAAAAAGAATTGAGGGAGATAGAAAAGTGTTTCTGCGAGCGCCGGCGGCGGCCGCAGTCCCCGTGAGCAGCGGCCGGACCTGCGGTCACGCTGACACCTCGCCACGCGGCCCGGGGGCCCGGAGGGCCGAGCAGCTCGCACCCTGACCCCGGCCCGGCTCCCGCTCCGGGCTCGGCCGGCGGGCGGGCGGGCGAGCGCGGCGCGGCGCGGCCCGGGCCGGGGGCATGTCGCGGAGGGCGCGCGGTGAGGAGCTGGATGAGCTGCAGTGCCAGGACACAGATTCAGATGTGCCAGAGCAGAGACACAGCAAGTGCAAGGTCAAATGGACCCAGGAGGAGGACGAGCAGCTGAGGGCCCTGGTGAAGCAGTTTGGACAGCAAGACTGGGAGTTCCTGGCCAGCCACTCTCCTAACCGCACCGACCAGCAGTGCCAGTACCGCTGGCTGAGGGTCTTGAATCCAGACCTCGTCAAAGGGCCATGGACCAAAGAGGAGGACCGGAAGGCCATCGAGCTGGTCAAGAAGTACAGCACGAAGCAGTGGACGCTGATCGCCAAGCACCTGAAAGGCCAGCTGGGCAAGCAGTGCCGTGAGCGCTGGCACAACCACCTCAACCCCGAGGTGAAGAAGTCCTGCTGGACGGAGGAGGAGGACCGCATCATCTGTGAGGCCCACAAGGTGCTGGGCAACCGCTGGGCTGAGATCGCCAAGATGCTGCCGGGGAGGACGGACAATGCTGTGAAGAATCACTGGAACTCTACTGTCAAGAGGAAGGTGGACACGGGAGGCTTCCTGAGTGAGTCCAGAGACAGCAAGCCCCCCATGTACTTGCTGCTGGAGCTGGAGGACAAGGACGGCCGCCTGAGTGCCCCCTCCTCGGAAGGCCAGGGAAGTGCTGTGACCAGCTGGCCCCCGGCATTCCCTGCCCTGAAGGAAGAAGAGAGCAGCGAGGAGGAGGTCGCGGCGGCCGCCCCCGCCCAGGAGCAGGAGCCCGTCCCCGCGGAGCTGGACGGAGTGCAGACCCCGGAGCCCCGGGGGGACTTCCCCAAGCGTGAAGACCAGGAAGGCTCCTCGCCGGAGACCAGCCTGCCCTACAAGTGGCTGGTGGAGGCTGCCAACCTCCTCATCCCGGCTGTGGAGTCCGGCCTCTCGGAAGCCCTGGACTTGATCGAGTCTGACCCCGATGCGTGGTGTGACCTGAGTAAGTTTGACCTCCCCGAGGAGCCGTCGGCCGAGGGCAGTCTCGTGGGCAGCCCGGGGCAGCCCCAAGAATGGCAGCAGCAGCAGCCCACGCCGCCCCGGCCAGCCACTGCCGCGGCACCCAGCGTGACCGAGTACCGCCTGGACGGCCACACCATCTCCGACCTGAGCCGTGGCAGCCGGGGCGAGCTGATCCCCATCTCCCGCAGCACTGATGTGGGGGGCTCAGGCGTGGGCACACCGCCCTCCGTGCTCAAGCGGCAGAAGAAGAGGCGTGTCGCCCTGTCCCCTGTCATGGAGGACAGGGCCAGCCTGTCCTTCCTGGACTCCTGCAGCAGCCTCACCCCAAAGAGCACGCCCGTCAAGACCCTGCCCTTCTCGCCCTCCCAGGTTTTGAACTTCTGGAATAAGCAGGACATACTGGAGCTGGAGAGCCCCTTGCTGACGTCCACCCCCGTGTGCAGCCAGAGGTGGTGGTCACCACGCTGCTGCCCCGGGACAAGACGCCGCTGCACCAGAAACACGCTGCGTTTGTTACCCCAGATCAGAAGTGCTCCATGGACAACACTCCCCACACACCGACCCCGTTCAAGAACGCCCTCGAGAAGTATGGACCACTAAAACCCCTGCCCCAGACCCCCCCCCTGGAGGAGGACTTGAAAGAGGTGCTGCGCTCCGAGCCTGGCATCGAGCTCATCATCGAGGATGAAGTGAGGCCGGAGAAGCAGAAGAGGAAGGCCGGGATGCGGCGAAGCCCCATCAAGAAAGTCCGCAAGTCCCTGGCTCTCGACATTGTGGACGAGGACATGAAGCTGATGATGTCCACGCTTCCCAAGCTGACCAGCATCCTCGCAGCGGGCTCCTCGGGCCTCACCCCGTCAGGCAGCAGCGAGGACAGCAGCCTACTCAACGAGGGCTTTCTGCAGGCCAAGTCCGAGAAGCCAGCGGCCCGAAGCCCCGGGGCCACTTTCCCACCCCTGCCCCCATGACCACTGCCTGGAAGACAGTGGCCTGCGGGGGCACCAGGGACCAGCTCTTCATGCAGGAGAAAGCCCGGCAGCTCCTGGGTCGCCTGAAACCCAGCCACACGTCTCGGACCCTCATCTTGTCTTAGGGGCTTGGCAGTCACGAGCCCGTTCTCATGTTTACAGGGGGCTGGGGGTCCGATTCTGGGCTGTGAATCTGAGATTCACACTCAGATGACCCCCTGCAGGGAGGCTTCTGCTACCAGCCCCTCCCAGACTGCTCAGGTGGGGACAGGCAGGCCCACCTACTGACCTGTCTCCAAGCCCGGCTGCAGCTCCGGGCAGTTCCTGGTGCTAACAGAACAAAGTCCCACCTCTGAGCTGGCCTGGCCCTCCCCAAGTGCCATAGGGAGCCCTCAGCTTCTCCCAAGCCCTGGTCAGGCCTGCCCTCATCTCAGACCCCTGCTTAGGACAGGGGACCTACCTAGCCAGCGTGCTCCTTCTTGCAACTTGTTGGTGCATTTTCTTGAAAAAATAAAAGTTGCCTTTCTCCTGGGGGCAGGGGGGGAAGAATTGAAAACAGAGACTTGAACAGATACATATATACCAATGTTCATAGCAATAGTGAAAAGGTGAAAGCAACAAAAACGTTCACGGTCAGATGAATGGATTAACAAAATGTAGTATATCCATACAATATAATATTATTAAACCTTAAAAAATGATGAAATTCTGATGCATGCTACAAAATGGCAGAACTGTGAAGACATTTTGCTAAATAAAATATGCAAGACATATTATACAATTTCACTTATATGATACTTCAGATAGTCAAATTTATAGAGCTAGAAAGTATAATAGTAAGTACCAGGGAAGGTAGGGAGGAAGTCAGGAGGAGTTATTGCTTAATAAGTACTGAGTGTGGGAAGTTGAGAAGATGAAAAATTTTGGTGATAGATAGATGTGATAGTTGCACAACAATGTGAAGGTACTTAATGTCACTGAACTGTACACTTAAAAGTGGTAAAATGGTAAATTTCACATTAAATATACCACAGAGAGAGAGAGAGGAAAAAAAAAAGACATGGAAAAAGAAATAGAGGTAATACCCAGGGCAGAGAAGTCCACTGTGTGGCCAAGTGATGTGGCAGAGGAAACCAGAGTCATCCCAGAAGGCCCTGGGCTTTCATCTGCTGCTGTTCAGTGTTCAGCCTCCTGTTAATAGACGGGGTCATGTGAACAAAGTTTTACAGCAGGCATTAAAGCTGGCTTCGTGCTGCTCTGGACCAAATGTCATCATAAATTCAGAAGGAGTAAAAGCAGCATAAGCTTTAGTCAAGTTGAGTGCAATTCTTTGTTCTTGCTTTGGAGGCAGTCAGGAGGGTAGGAATTCACATTCGACTTGACAGGTATATGCTGTGCTCATTTTCCTTAAAAGGTCGTGCTTTTCTCCTTTGATTTTTTTCCACCTCCCCTTAGGGGTTAGCCATATGTTGAATCCACATGCCTGTGTTAATGCAAAGGTGGAACTGCATATGGTGGCATGACCACTGCACAGGCGTGAGCAAGGCCTGCTGAGTGAGAGGGACATGAACCAAGGCCCTTGAGTGGCTTTGAGGGATGGGGTGAGCTGCAGAGGCTTGTTGTATGGTCTGTGCGATGGGGGCATGTGAACTGAGACAGCCGTATGTCTAAGAGGGATAGGATGTGACTGCTGAAGTGGTGGGGAGGTGGTAGTGCACGTTTATAAGAGCTCCAGTCCAGAAATTATCACACCAACCCTGGGAGGTAGGTGTGACAATAACTAACCTCCATAAGTCAGATAAGAAAGTGAGGCTTAGAGAGGAAGGAACTCATGGCAGTTGCTGTAGTGGAACTGGGACCAGAACCATGCTTTGTTGGCCCAGGTCTAAAGTACTTAGTACCTGTTCTCAGATACAACAACAATTGAGGGTCCCAAGTAGCTTATTGGTCCTCTCTGATACATTATATTGTTATTGCTAGTATAATCCTACTCCTTGAGTTGGGTAGGACCTGTGATCTGTTTCCAACCAATCGAATATGGTAAAGTTGCTGAGATAGCATTCCTGTGGTTACATTATGTTGTATGGCAAAGGTGTGAGATTTTGAAGATGTAATTAAGGTCCCTAATCAGTTGACTTTGAGTGAAGCAAAAAGAAGAATGCCTTGGGTGGGAGTGACCCAGACACTCCAAGCAGTAAAGCCTTTCCCAATATCAATCTCTCACTCTCTTTGTTTCTCTCCCTCTCCCTCTCTTTTTCTATTGCTGGCTTTGAGGAAGCAGATTGCTATGGATTCTGTAGTCACAAGGAAGTGGATGCCGTTAACCACCTAAGGGATCTTAGAAACAGATCCTCCCTTAGTCTAGCCACTGGATAAGAGTGCAAGTAAGACAACACCTTGATTTTAGCCTGTGCGACTTTGAAAAAATAAGACTTGAAAAGAAGTTCCATGCCTGGACTCCTGACCTAGAAAAACCATGAAATAATATGGGTGTTATTTTAAGCTGCTACATATGTAATAATTTGTTATGGGGCAATAGAAAGGTGGTGTTAGAACCCAGGTATTTCTTATCCAGTTCGGCTCCCCTTAATTTTATATAAAGTGGTGAAGTCCACAGAGGACTTTGGCACACAGGATTTCTTTAAGTCTTCATGAAAACCCTGCAATGTATATATTTAAAAAATACTCACGTCACAGGTGAGGAAACTAAGACGGGTTCAGAGAGTAGTTCTTTTAAACACATTTATTAATCATAGTCTCCCTACCAGGTACTATCCTATGTACTAATGATTTATCAGTGAAAAGAAAAAAACAAAAGACCCATTCATGGTATCTGGGTGAGCAAGGGAAGAGTGAAAATTAGAACCCAGTCTGTCTAGCATCAAAGCCTATGCTTTTTGCACTATAAAAGTGTTTCATTTTGATTCACTGCTCTGGTATAAAAACTTTTTAAAATGTGTACACACTGATGTATTTTCCCTGATACAATACTGTACTATTTGGAATGAAGTCACTATAGACAGCCCACACTTAAGGAATGGGAGTTATGTTCTCCTTCCTGTAGTGTGGAGCATCTGTGAAATTTATTTGGAATTCTTCTGCATAGGATACTTGTCTCTTCTCTCCTATTTGTTTATTCAATCATTTATTTATATCAGTATGGATTCACACACTTATGTTAGACTTTATGGAGGCTACTCCCCATTTGCAGTGTTCAGACTTCTCATTGTGGTGGTTTCTCTTATGCGTGGAGCACAGGCTCTTGGGAGCACAAGCTTCATTAGTTATGGTGCATGGACTCAATTGCTCCCCAGCATGTCTGGGATCTTCCCAGACCAGATCTTCTAGACCAAGTATTGAACCCATGTCCCTGCATTGGCAGGTGAATTCTTAACCAATGGACCAGCAGGGAAGTCCCCACTGCTACTTATTTCTTGCTCAGATTGTTCCAGTTCTGCCTGTGGGAGCTCTTTCAGTTTTCTCTTCCTGTGTCCCTTTGACACTCCCATCAAGGTAGTAGTGGCAGTAGTGATTGTTGTTATTTGAGCACTTACTGGCACTACATGATATCCAGGCTCATCTGGTATAGCTTTGCCCCAGTACTATAACCAACCATTTCTCCAAGGAGCTCTGAATCCTATTCTTGGAGCATGGCATTCAAAAGCAAGATCTGGGTCCTAAGTGTACTATTTGCTTCCTGGACCCTTTTATTTGTATTTTCAGATTGAAAATATCTGGTCCAGTTTCAATAATCATGATTAAGCCTGTCATATTTTGTGTATAGGTTGATTCTAAAAGTTAAAAAAAATCAAACAACAAAAAAATGAATTTGGACCCCTGCCTCACACCATATACAAAAATTAACTGAGAATGAACCATATACCTAATTATAAGAGCTAAAATTATAAAATACTTAGAAGAGAGCATGGGTACAAATCTTTGTGACCTTGGATTAAGTGATAATTTATTAGATGTGACATGAAGAGCAGAAACAACCAGAGGAAAAAATAAGTTGGACTTCATCAAAATATAAAGTTTTTGCACTTCAAAGGACATTATCAAGAAAGTGAAAAGACAACACACAGAATGTGACAAACTATGTGTAGATTATATATCTGGTTCAGTTCAGTTCAGTCACTCAGTCGTGTCCAATTCTTCGCAACCGCATGAACCGCAACATGCCAGGCCTCCCTGTCCATCACCAACTCCCAGAGTCTACCCAAACTCATGTCCTCTGAGTCAGTGATGCCATCCAACAATCTCATCCTCTGTTGTCCCCTTCTCCTCTGGCCCTCAATCTTTCTGAGCATCAGGGTCTTTTCCAATGAGTCAATTCTTCACATCAGGTGGCCAAAGTATTGGAGTTTCAGCTTCAACATCAGTCCTTCCAATGAACAACCAGGACTGATCTCCTTTAGGATGGACTGGTTGGATTTCCTTGCAGTCCAAGGAAATCTCAAAAGTCTCCTCCAACGCCACAGTTCAAAAGCATCAATTCTTCAGTGCTCAGCTTTCTTTATAGTCCAACTCTCACATCCATACATGACTACTGGAAACGCCATAGCCTTGACTAGACAGACCTTTGTTGACAAAGTAATGTCTCTGCTTTTTAATATGTTGGCTAGGTTGGTCATAACTTTCCTGCCAAGGAGTAAGCGTCTTTTAATTTCATGGCTGCAGTCACCATCTGCAGTGATTTTGGAGCCCAAAAAAATAAAGTCTGACATTGTTTCTACTGTTTCCCCATCTATTTGCCATGAAATGATGGGACCAGATGCCATGATCTTAGTTTTCTGAATGTTGAGCTTTAAGCCAAATTTTTCACTCCCATCTTTCACTTTCATCAAGAGGCTCTTTAGTTCTTCTTCACTTTCTGCCATAAGGGTGGTGTCATCTGCATATCTGAGGTTATTGATATTTCTCCCAGCAATCTCGATTCTAGCCTGTGCTTCATCCAGCCCAGCATTTCGCGTGATGTACTCTGCATATAAGTTAAATAA